AGATGCAGCTAAATATTTCTTGATGAATAAATTTATTTGAAGGTAATATTCTATGAAATTATTTTAGTCTACGAATTAGGTTATTGTTCATGAAGAGTATCATGTTTAAAAGAAAAATATTTTCCAATGACGTGAAAGTCTTTCGACGCGGATGACCAATCGGTCTACAGCTCCTGAGAACGGGATCATACGTTGTCGTTCACGTATATCCGTAGGACGCCACCAAAAATGGAAGAAGTACGAACGAAAAAAGGGGGACAAGAGGTAGTGCTCTTCTCCGATGTAACGCCGAGAATTCGAGGCAGTCGTTAGTATGCTAATGAGTGTCCCTCGTTTCTCAGCTCGCTCCCGTAATGCGCGGACTGGTAAATTATTTCAAATATTTCCCGAACCTCCTCTCTCTCTTTCTCTCTCCCTCTTACCCTCCAATCGACGCCCTAACTTCGTGAGAATATATCCCTGATTCGAACTTGAAACTAAGTTGAGGTATAAATTAGGGACGACCACTTTCACTCGATTGTTTTTGCTCACAAAACCACGACGGAGCCATTACTTGTACTTTAAAAGACACTAACGTCCTGGTAAAATACATTTCGCGTTTGCTCGTGTTTTAAGCTCCCTCGTTTTACTCACGACTTGTTCGTTTAGATATTCTTTAAAATAGGTGAATTATCATAGAAATTATATTTTGTAACGAAGAAAATAATTGACGATGGACAGTGCAGGTAGAAAGTGTATTAAGAAACACACACATTATGCACACATGTGTTATTTGTACATATGTGCATTTTATTAGATGCAAAAACGTACATAGCTATGTAAAAAATGACGAAAGAAAGTTTGACTAACGTAGACGATATAAATGACCAACGATGTTTAATTACAGGGTCTCCATTTTGCTGCGAACTTAACCTAAAAGTAGTCGTACTTGATAACTGAACTTGAAGTGATCGAGGGATCAATGAGGAATAAAGAATGTAGACAATCGTTCAGAATTGTTTTGCGAAAGAGTCGCCAGGGCGAATGCCTTTAATTCTCACCTCTGGACTTTCGTGCGGCTCTCGATATCAGGGCCCGATGGCGCCGTTATATATCCCGCGATAACATCGAAAACGCCGTGAGAGCAACGTTCCGGCCTCTCTCGACCTACGGTGGTATATACAGGGTTACGCCAGCCAACGACGTACCACGGCACGATGATAATATTAATTCCCCGAGCTAGCGTATCGTCTTTCATTGCGATCCCGCGTCGGCGATCCGTGATCATTAATTAAACATTCAATTCGTATGAGAAATTTTCGCGCGCCGATCGACCCGGGGCTCGCCTCGCTCCGGGAACGATACTCTTGATGGATGCTGATCAAACTCGGAAAAAATGGGGATTCGCTAACGGTTAGTTGCTCGATTTCTAAAAATTGGAAAATGTTCGATGAATGATAGAACGAAGTTCTGAAGATGGAACGAAGTTCTGAAGGTGGAACGGAGTTCTGAAGGTGGAACGAAGATCACGAGATGAACGATGATGAACTGAAAAATTGCCGAGCTACCAGTGAATCCGAGGAGCTAACGAAAAGCTTATCTATTGAATCACGATCGAAAGGATCGAAGCAACGACGCAATGTCTAAACTGACGCAAAGATGGAGGAATGCCTGACACTATCGATTTCCACACTCCAATTTCACGGTTCAGTCGATCAGGAAACCATTAATAAACGCGTGAACGTCGGTGGTACGTTTTGCATAGAAAAGTTGTCCAAAAATTGATTTCAAGATTAGTGTTCCATGAAGGAAGTGACACTCGTGAGATAATTACAGAGTTGGGAATAATTAGATCAGGAGGTTGTTACAGACAATTTGCAATCACATATAATAGTAAGAAATATGTAACTTAAAGATTGAAGACTGCTAAGTAACTGGACTAATAGTTCGATTCCACTCTTCGATGAGAGCATTAATAAACACGTAAACGTCGTGGGCTTATCGTAAATGTACCCGAGTCGAAACGTAGTCGGATCTCCGTTAAAGGGTTTACCTAACATACAGGTGCTCACAAAAGTATTATATCAAGTCTAATGGTAATAAACATTTATTAGTTTATTAGTCTAGAGTTGTTCATAAATATGGTCACATCTGTTGTTGCCAGATGATTCATATATATGATAATTGTTCTAAATCAGTTGATGATAAATATGATCATGTTTGTCTTCAACAGCAAAGACTCAACCTTCAATTTTTAATAAAAGTGTTTACAGAGGTTGAACTAGACAAGTTGATGATAAATGTGATCTTGTTATTTGTCTTCAGCCATAGAGCCTCAACCTACAATTATAATAAAGGTGTTTATAGTGGTCGTTCTTAATCAATCGTTAACAAATCTGTTCATATTGCCTGCAATCAATTGTTCATAAAGGTGGTCACATTGTGTCCAATCAGTCAAAAATGTGATCACATTGCTTGTCCTAATCAACTGTTCATATATGATCATATTCTTCAACCGATTCATAACAACGGTGATTATGACTTGTTTCCAACCAGCCGTTAATGAAAACGATCACATTAATTGTCTCTAATAACTCCATGCATGTAGTTACATTGTCACTGAGAATCTATCGATAAATCAAACTGTAGGTCCCAGAGCGGCAGATCCTGTTGATTATCCGCGATCTGCTCATAAACGTGGAATCTTACTAAAGATCTTTGCCGAAGTGGTCGACGTTAATGTCCGCAGAGCATCAAGGTATATGGAGCTAATAGGGTAATGATACGAAGTCGCGAGTTTCACTGGCATAATAGACGTTGACTTTTGTGAGTAACTGTACATACAGAAACGGAGGAGAAAATGCCGATCGTGGACGCTTTCGAAGGTAAGGAACGATAGGGATCCACACATAAATCCGTATCTCGCGGCGGCCGTATTTTCCCGCAGGTTCGATCGTAGCAGAGAGAGAGTGTCTAATTTACCTAAAACGCGTTATCTGCTGGCTCGGTCGTTCGGTTTCCCGAACGAACGCACAACCGCCGGTAGGAAACAGAGACAACCGTGGCCCGTTGTTGCCTTAATGAGGTCCAATTACTATCGGATGGGTCACTTAGTATGCGGTACCGATATTCCACGGTGCACCACATTAGTGGGACGAGAGACGAGAGCAAGGGTCAACACCCTTAGGCCAGCTCGTGGGTCTAACGAGACCCGGTCGGTCTTCTTGTCGTCCGCGTTTCCCGCGCGCACGTGCGTCGCGGAATTCGCCGATTGAATATTATTTGCGTCCTTATCGATCGCTGCCGGCGCACACGGCCACGTCGAAGGACATCGCGATGAAAGCGAGCGGTATCCGCTTTGCCGGTTAGGTTCCCGCAGCTAGCCTGACATCTGAACGTAGCCGGTTGTCGTACGACCCGACGAGGGGGAGGATTTTTGCGATTTCGAGGGTTAGATCTGGGTTTCGGACGAGCGCGCTTCTGACCGGTGAAATACGGCTCAAGATCGACGACGCGATTGCCGAAGAGACTTTGAGCGAGTACGCCTGACGGTTCCGATGTCGACACTTCCCAATAGGAATTTCTCAAAAGCCTATGTTACAAAATATAGTTTCTTTCAAAATCGAACACTTTACCCTCTGATGAATTTCAAACGCGAAGATGTAATAACGAATGTATGCAGATACAAGTTTTTTCAAGCAAATAAATAACCGAGCAGAATTTAAAATCGATCAAACGCATATGAACGATTGGAAATCAATTTGCATTCCTAATGCCGCCATTATGTACTAATTGCCTTGATCAGTTAAACACGTATTTCCTCGATCCGTTAAACGCGATTTCCTCGATCTCCAGTCCATCGATTACACATAAATTAATTATCGAATCGATGAAAAAAATGTAACGCGTTCGATCGCACGGAATAAAACGTCACCGGTCCGTATCGTGTGTCACGATTCGTGAAACAATCGCGTCGCCCATGGAACCGTTCCCGAAGGAGGACGATCTGAGATAATCGATTCGACGCGCTCGATTCTCTCGACCACTTACGGATTCGAGCCGGCCAAGCGTTTTTTCATCGACGGTCCCGCTCTCGCGTCTATCGGGATGGGACTTTCTCACCTTCTTCGTCGATAGCTCGACGTATACATGCCTGTTGTTCCTCCTCGCGATTCGACACGGCTTATTAAACTTCCCCCTGCTTTAAACTGGAGTGGATACGAGGCAATATTGAAAAGCGTGCAGCTGTTTCGATCCGATCAAGTATACGACAGTGTCGTCATTGTGTTGCAAATTCATCGATTTTGAATTGTGTATTGAATTCTGTTTTTTAAATGGGGAGGAGGAGGATCTTGTCGCCATTTTAATTCTGAGACAACCCACAGAGGGTTTATGAAGAACTTGGAGAAAATTTAGAAAGCCTAGGAATATTCTATGGAGGCTCTAAGAATTACGTGCACATTTTAGAAACGTTCTAAGGACACCATTTCGTGATACACAGCTAATCTGTAAATGTAGAGCTAATTTTATGGAGAAGATGCGTTAGGAATACTCTATGGAGGCTCTAAGATATATATGTATGTTTAAGAAATGTTCTAAGGACACCATTTTGTGATGCACAGCTAACCTGTAAATGTAGAGCTAATTTTATGGAGAAGATACGTTAGGAATACTCTATAGAGGCTCTAAGAATTATATGTACATTTAAGAAATGTTCTAATGACACCATTTTGTGATACACAGCTAATCTGTAAATGTAGAGCTAATTTTATGGAGAAGATACGTTAGGAATACTCTATAGAGGCTCTAAGATACATATGTACATTTAAGAAATGTTCTAAGGACACCATTTTGTGATACAAGACTAATCTGTAAACGTAGAGCTAATTCTATGAAGAAGATACCCAATTAATAAATCTAGTAAGCCTATCCCTAAAATATCTACAGATATTTCCAGGAAGGAATCAGTGAATCCAGGAATAATCGAAGAAGGTGTGATAATTAAGTAAATGATGCCTTACCTTGCAACCCTCGCACGTGAACGCTCCAAAATGAAAACCAGCCGCCGGTTCGCCGCAGACCTTGCACTGTTGGTTCATCTGCAATTATAGAAATAGTGTTATTGGGAGGATAATCGGTGGGTCAGTTTAGCCCGATTCATCCTTGGCAAGATAAGAAACGGGACCGAGGGTAGGCTAACCGGTTCCTCCGCGTTCGTTTTGATTTTTATTTCGCTCACAATATCTTACGGACATTCGAACGCTATTTGGATTACCGGGAAGAGGAACTTGAAAAATTATTCTCCCGCTTTCTTTACGACCATTATCGCCCCTGACACGATTTATCCTGCTAATGCTTCGGGCGACCATCGTGCAACCATTCGACCATCGATTTGCTGTTCGTCTTTTTCTTGTATTGTCGACGTGATCTTTGCTCTGAGTGCACGAGCGATTATTTTCTTTATCGATTCTGGTCGCTGTGGAAAGGTTCATATTTCTTCACTTATACTGTCTCATCAAATTTTCAATTTTTTAAGTTCCTAAATTTTAGAATTTCCAAATCTTCAAACTCCAAATTTTCAACCCCTAAACTCTTAAATTGCAATCTCTCAAATATCAAAAATTTCTCAAATTCCAATTTTGAATCTCCGAATGCACGAGTACATTCCAAACAAAAAGAGTGAACTTGATTTGTAGAAGAATGAAGGGATTATTCTCACAGCATCAAGGCGACATTTGTCCTCCTTTGAACATCATAAATCAGTGTTATCTCGGCATCAACTGTCGTAGGTCGTGGAGTCAGGGCGATGGTCGGATTTCTCGGATAAACTGGAATAAAATTAGACCATCGATGGTCCGATAAGGGCAGCTCACAGGGACCTCGAACACACCTGGCTTCCTCTAATGTCGCCTACGTTTATCTGGCCAAAAATGGCCGGCTCGAACCTTGCGCAGAACCGAGCGTTTTTCAATCGAATTCTGCTCGAACCGAAAAGGATATTTAATTACATAATTGAAGCGTGTGGTTAAAATTCAACCGCATTCGAGTAATCACTGTTTACGTTGGTTTCGAGTTTCCACAAACTGGAATTCGTCACTCGTTACATTCAGTAATTACAGGCCTTCGTTTCTCCGTTTTCAAGTACGAATTTAATTGCCTTAAATGAAGTGTTTTATAAGACATCATTCTACATTTACAGTAATTTTAGGAAACTACACCCACCCTTATTTTTACGTCTTTAATTAAATGTGTGAAGCATCATGTATAGTTTACAGTAGAATATAATTTTATTCAAGATGATTGTATTATTCAAGATGGTTGTATTGAAAGATGGCTGCATTGTGTATATTAGGGTGAAAAATAAACACCCTTCGGTTCTATGAAAACTGTAAAAATGTCTAAATTTATCCTACCTTCAGTTAAAAACCAGAGTCAATTAATTGGTAAAAATGGAGCTAGTAAAGTCAGAAGTAAGTGGAATGTGGTAGAACGTAAGAGCAGTAAGAGAATGAAATTTTCTGCCAGGACAATGGCGATACAGAATAACCGTGACAACCGTTCAGAAAGCGAGTTAAGAGTCCCGGTACAGTACCCTTTTCCTTTCGTCGCAAATTGCTATAAATATCGTCGCATGTATTTTCGAAACAGCGTAAAGAAAAGAAGAAAGAGCGTGTTCGCTGAATGTTAATGACGATCCTTCGAAAAGAGCGGTAATTTCTGCAAAGACGAGTTTTTGTCGAGGATCGCGGGCGCCTTAACGAGAATTCAAAGTGACTGTAATTAGAGTCAAGCCGCGACACGAGCCCCTTCTAATCGTCCCTTTGCAATTGTTCTTCTAATGGAAACGAGCTGGCGCCCGCGAACGGTAGCCATCTCGTATTAACCGAGAGACCGAGAGACAGAGAAACGGTCGAAGACGACCCCAAGAATGGGACGCGAGACGGAGAGAGTAAAAGAGAAGTCGACTCGCAGGTTCGTTAAGGTTTCCAAGTTTTTTCTCGACGCAGTTGTTTGACGCCCGCTCTTTCTTTCATTCCGCTTGCTGATGAGCCGAGACCATCCTCTCTTTTCCCTCTTTCTCCCCGGAGAAACGGACTTCGAGTATGCCTGCTTTTTTACCTTTTTCTTCCTCGTTCCTTCTCTTCTTTTTTTTACACCACGACAATGACCTACTCGCCCCGTTTCGTCTCACATTCTCTAACGCCATTCTCGATTCAAACCTTTATTCGTTTAGTAATGAACATTTATTCGACATATTACATCTGACACGGATAATACTGCACAAATTGATAAGATGCGAAACATGTTTTCGGAACAATTTTACAGTAGTCACATCATTGAAAATGAATTGAAAAGTAACTGAACTATATACTTCAAGAGCTTGGAAGGACATCTTTGAATGCTGAACCGAAGGTGAAAACTTTCTGGCGCCTAAACTGCAACGTGTTCATTGTTCGGACCTATAGAAACAGTCAAGAGACCTTGGGTTCCACGAGTCCAGTCTTGACAGTTTCTCCATTGAGTTACTTAAACATTCTCAAGATTTTAAGCTAATAAGAATTAATTTTACCAACATGTGAACAATGAAAAAGCAAGACTGTAAGAGACTAAAGGGACACTCAGACGACACTTGATTTAATACCCATCTCCACTTCTCCTCGAAAAGAATTCATCTCGAAAAAGTCCCAAGAATTGCTGTTATATTATTCTGATGTTAAGAAGATGATCACGGCCGCGTGAGAATGCTCGGACCGGAGGTTTCCGCTCGTAGCGGCTATGATCTGGAGGGAAAGGTTAAGCGGTGCAAAAAGAGGGCGCGGAGCTAATATCGGGACGTTGTTTCCATCGATGCGCGACCACACGAGGAATATTCGTAGCCGGATAGGCCGTGCACGCAGCCCGACGTTGATTAACAGTGCTCCCGCGATAAACAGTAAATCACAGAGCGCATCGATTCAACCTTCGTAACCGTATCCGTGGCCATAAACAGCGAACGGTACCATTTAAGTAGCCGAGCCTATTGATTTTACAAAGGATCTGCACGCGTATTGCGACGATCGATATCGACGCTATCCCACGAAGGTTAATTCGGGCCAAGGCTGGTACTGATCTCTGTGCCCTAAACTGTCTCGATTACGCCAAAACCTTTCTCTTCCCATTATGTGCATTTTCTTTGCCTAGTCGGTTGCTTTTGGAAACGTTGCTGAGTTAAGGGATGACTGCAAGCTGACTGATATTCACAAATATCGATATTGATGTTGATATTACAAAATATTTAAGGCAGAGCTGAGAAAACCATAGTGGATTTCGAGGAGGTCTATGAAGATTATAAGAAGATTTTAAGAATTGTAGAAAAATAGAGGAGATCCTGAACGATTAGGATCGTAATTGTCACATTTTCCTTAGGAAGTTGAAATTTGCTCTTGATTACACTTTTGACTTTACCACTCCTGACTATACAATTTCTCAAATTTAAGAAGTCCTAATTTGTCCAAACTCGAGAGAACTCCTTTACTCGTACGTAAATAATTGCACGTCGAAAATAATTGCATTAGAAAATGTTTCACCCGCACAGAAATCCCGGAAAGATCAGGTAGCAAGTTCCGTTTGCAACGAGACGCTTATCACGAGCACGAGAGATCAGATAAAGTTGCGAACCACCAGCGTTGCAGCGCATTGATATGCAAAAATAAGGGGAAGGCAGCCGTGCCGGCTGCAGAGAAGCAACAAGACCGAGTCTATAATCTGTTCATCGATGTCTCATTGGGCCAAAGTGGATAAAAAGCGGGTGTCCAGATGAAAGAGGAACGAACCGCCTCGTGTGTACGCGCGTGCACCCAGTACCCCAGTTTCCACGGGACCGGAGTCAATATTTGCCTGGCACTCGCTCGTTAATGAAGTCGATCGACCTGCTCCAAATATCGGCTTACAGGGCCCGATCGCTCGAGCGTGCACGGCTGAACGCCAACGAACACGGGAAGGGGGACAACGGGGCAACCCTCCTGTCATCGTTCGACTCGTCCCCGTACCACGCGAGTTCCCTATCCTGAGGGGCTCGTCGGACGTTTACGCGCCATTAAACTCGAGTCCCGCGCGACGTTTAATCCCTTTTATGAGACTTTTTTTACCAAGATCTTTCCCGCCATTGTCCTTGCACCCCGAGGCAACCCTTTCTTCTCATGGGCGACTTCTTGCACCCGTTCGAGGGAAGATACGGGCGAACTGGAACCGAGATCGGGGATGATAGATTTAGAGATTCTTACGGCTTTGAATATTTTAACAGTCCTAGTGCTGATCTTAATTCTGAAGTTTTACGCAATTGGATCGGTCTTAAGTTTACTGTACTACAAAAGCTAAATATGTGAATATATTTTATTAAGATACATTCTTTAGAACTCTATGTCTAACTAATAATAATTTAAACTAACATCTTTAAATTTCTTAGAAATTACCAATAACTTTTTACATATTCCCTACAGTATGTGAAATGACGGTTCGAAAAAAATTAGCATCCCTAAAGTCGATATACAGTTAACATGTTATATCGACCTAAAGAAGAACTCGAACTCTCATATTTATTTATTACTTCGAAGTACGTGAAGATTCTATAACGCCTAAGGTTAGGAACACAGAACTAATTGTGAGCAATAAATATCTTATTGGCTCCCAGTTAAAACGTTCGAAGTTTTTCTCGAGGTCAAAGTATCGTTAGTCTCGAAGTGTTAAATCGAGATTAGAAGATTAATCCGAGTATCTTATTTGCAGCGAAGCAAATTGTACAATCATCTGACATAATCTTATTTCTAAGAGGGAAATTAGCTTGATGGAAAAAATTCGCGATGCAAATATCTGGTTTTATCAATCTATTAGGTGCACCAGACAGTTCTGCTAGGTTTACGACTGCTGAGGTTTTTTAGCCTTAGAAGTAGATTATAAACAATGACATCTGTATTATGCGTTACATAAAACAGCGGTTTCATATTCAAGCAATTAATCTGTGACAAATGATGGTAGTATAAACACGTCAGTCAGCGAGATTTATTTGAACAATGCTGTTTGCGATAGTTAAATATTACTGCAGAATTGTGTCTTTGAAAAT